CTAGTAGCGCGGGCGGTTCAATGGATAACGGCTCGCAATGAGAAATTGGAGAGCCAAGTTCTAATTCCAGTCAAGTACGTTACATTCACTTACACACAATAATCAAAAAGTAATGACAACCTTGTTGGGGACGTGCAGAGTTTGTTAATTATGTTAGAAAGAATCAGAAGGAACTTTGAGTTGGTTGCGTGTCTTTCTGCATCCCAAACAAATAAACGAAATTCAAAATGCAACTGAAAAACGAGACATATTCAATTAGAAATCAATACAACATTTATATACAATTCAAACAATATACAGATAGGATAATTGATGTATGTTATGTAGGCGAAATGTGTATGAGGTTTTTTAGATTTCTGAATGTCTCTCTTTGCAATTGTTCGTTCATTTGCAGTCCTTTTTGTTTGTGTCGATATTTGCAATTGTTAATAATAAGTGTCTTTTAGAAAGAGTTTTTTAAGAGTGATCTACCTTTATCTGTAGTTGGTGTTTTTGTAATGTCGTTCGTTCGTTAGTGTTTACTTAATAAGTAGTGAATTTAATTCACTTTAAATAAGCAAAGTTGAGAAATGGTGTACACAGAGTTGATTAATGCTTGATCGAGTATGAGTCAGCGATGTATCTTTTTGCGCGGCAAAATTGTGATTCGTAGTGACGTGGAGTATTTTGGAAAGTTTTCTGGGAATGCGTGTTACTGACTGCCTGGGGCTGTCTTCGTTTATTTTTATAAGGTCTGAAATTCCAAAGGTGGCTCACTTGAGTTTTGGCGCAATTTCTATTCTGCACGTGAACTTTCAGTGATGAACCAATGAGATTGTTTGCTTCGTTTCGTGCAGTTTTGATTGGTTGAAGTTTTTAGGTACGTAGGTGTAAGATGTGGACTGTGCTTTTGTTAGGGTTAGAAGGTAAGGAAAATTGGACGAGTCTACAGCCTACTACGTGAATTCTTCTACCAACGTCAATCATGAATCGAAAAGAGACATAACCATCCAAGCGTATGACACAGTAGAAAGGAAAATTATTTCTGTTGCCCCCCCCATATATATATAGTAATATTGATTGATTTGTCTTTTACTGATTATCAACCCCCATATTTTACATTGTAAGAATTTTTTTCTTTTTTTTTTTTTTTTTTTTTTTTTTTTTTTTTTTTTGCAAGTGAATAGTGTATGAACAATTTTTTGAGAATAAGTTATTTTTTTCTAGATAAAAGTCCTATTTAACCCAGAGATGGGGGAGGAGATAGATTTATACCTTTCCTAAGGCTAAGTGAATGAAACGAATCCGACTGGAATTCGAACTCTGCTCTCCGACTTCTCATTCCGATCCGCTATCCATTACACCACCCGCACATCCTATATCATAATAATAAATTCTTTAAGGAGGATGAAATTCAAATAAGTTTACGGCAAAGACTAACGTCTTTTAGAAAAAAACTGATTAACGCCTTTTTAATGAATTTATTTAGTCTCCTAACGAGTGGATTAATCCAAAGAACCTGCAAAGTTATTGATCCTGACCTGGCATCTCAGCTTCAGTCACTTTCTCACCGCCGTAACATAGCTTCCCTGTGCCTTTTCTATACATATTTTCATGGCAATTGTTCTGATGAGCTTTCTCATACTTTGACTTTAAGAATTTAAGCGCAGTACTATATTGACAATTAGGTCTCATTTTACAATTGACATTACTAGATGTAACCGTAGGTTCTTCTCTCTCACTTGTTGAGCACTTTTCTAGCTTCCTGCTTCCCAGTCAACTTTGATCCTCAAAGAATAAAATGCAATGTCTATCATTATTTTCTGTTATCTTAAGTCCCATTCTTTTATTCTTCTCTCTCCTTAATGGCGTTTTTTTTTTCTTTTTTTTTTTTTCATTCTCTAACACTAAAGAAGCCATTGCGTCTTAGTGGTTTTATTTCCTTGCTTGGGGTTAAATGCTTTTAAAAAATTTTTTTAAATAATTGAATAAATTATTATTTCAGAATTTGACTGTTAATATAACCATATGGAAGCTCTAAGACATACATCCGTTAAGATGCACAACCCGAAACGAGTTGAATTCTTACTGATTAACCCCGAGAAACTCCTGTTATCCGGTATAGAAGATGTCGATCGGCAGCACTTTTTTTTTTTTTTTTTTTTTAACTGAAATCTGGCTTTCAATAAGGTTTTCTACATTTCTTTTACTGATTGCTCGCGTTTTCTATTGGATTAATAAGTTATCTTCTGTCTTAATTCTGGTCCTTTTAATAATGTTTTTCTTTTCTCGAACTTCTCGCTTGTGGAACTCTCTTCCGGCTACTTGCATTCCAGTCAGCTTTGATCTTTAAAAATCTAAGTGCAATGTGAATAGTTATCTTCTGTCTTCTAAATTCCTGTTCTTTTATTCTCTCTTTAATTTTTTTTTTTCCTTTTCTCATATCACACTCGGTTACACCCTCGCGTCTTAGTGGCTTTATTACCTTGCTGGGAGCGAATGAAAATATTATAAAAATACTATAATTAGAAAGACTTCTGAACATGAAAATGTTATTTTCCAGAAATAGCTCGGTCCATCGTGTTTTTTTTTTTTTTTTTTTTTATTTATTTATTTTTTCTCCCAAACACAATCTTTGTTGTATATAAGTTCCCCACCACCCCAAGTACTTAGGAATGTTGCTACAGAGGTTTTTTTTCTGTGTTTTTGGTTAAATCCGGCGTTCTTGGGGAATTCCTTGAAAACAGTTACATGAACACGCAAAAAATGAAATCTTTGAAAACGAAAGTGGTAACATTCATAATTAATCGGGGTGGAGAAACAAGAATAAAAATGAATTTTGGTAAATTTACTTATATATATATATATATATATATATATATATATATATATATAGGAGAGAAAAATTCTGAAAACCACGTGATATATCTAAGACGACTCATTCTGCAAAAGATTCGGCAATAGCCCGACATCTACTTGATAATCCCGACTGTGCTACCAAATATGTAGATAGCTTCTTTTTTTTTTTTTTTTTTTTTTTTTTTTTTTCATAGAACCCGGTTTGCTCACCACTCGCGTATTCATTTAATCGGCTCTTTTCAAGCAGAAAGTATATTTAACTTGCTCTCTGCGTTTCTTTGGAAGGGTCCTGAGTGAGAACTTGTCCCTTTTACACTCGGTTAGAATTGTTTATCTTTTATTTTAATCGTAAATTATTTACTATTAAATTGTATTCCAAAGTCCCCTCCTCATTCAATATATATATATATATATATATAATATATATATATATTGTCATCCGCAGACATTTTTGCTGTATCACAGCTCATAAGTGTGGTTAGACATCCGATTTCCTCAAGCCAAGATCGAAACCAGACTGATTTCACATCAGTCGACCGATAGCATAGAGGAAAAATCTGAAAAGTGGAAGGTGAATTTTTATATATTTATTTTGAATAAACATGCCAGTGACTCAGATTGCTCGATTCAGAGAAGAGCTTTGCATTATCAGCAGTAGCAGTCACTATTTACAAATTCACGCTTTCTTCCTAAAGTGCTCGACCAACATTTGTGTGCGTGTTATTCTTATTTTGTTCCGAATATTATCCCTTGACTCGTCCCAACGGTTACCTTTGAAAAAGTGTTGGTCGAAAAGAATTCCTTTAGGAAAAGACAAATGAAAAATGCCGCCCTGCTTTTACAAAACAAATTTATGTCAAGTCCTTGTTTGTTTTTCACACACACACACACATACGTGTGTGTGTGTGTGTGACAATAGGAAAACTGTATTATTAGCCGACGTGTTTCGTCCAATGTGGATTTTGTTCAAGGCAAAAACGAAATAACTCCATATTGGACGAAACGCGTCGGCTAATAATACAGTTTTCCTATTGTCTTTATACCTTTTTATACATATTTATTTACCTTTTTATTCATATTGTCTTTTTCTGCTGGTTAACTCTGAGAAATTTTTCATATATGTATATATAAAATATGTGGTGCAGTTGAATATATATTACAATGAATCATTCTTACAAAAAGTAAATTATTATATTGTATGAATGATACGTTGTAATATAAATTAAACTGCACCACATATTTGATTTTAAAGAACTGATCCGACGTGCGAATTTTCAGGTAACAAACTGAGATATTACTTTTCTTATTGAACTATTTAGTTCATGCCACGTTGACTGATAAACTCCTACACAAAAAAAAATTCTTAAATTGCCATATTAGTAAAAAATGCACTCACTTAAATTTTCAAAAAATTTCTAACTTAGCGTTGTGACTGCACACTTCACAAGTTTGTATCTATTATCAATAACAAATTTCAAAAAACATATTTCGATTTGCATTATATTTTTTCGTCTCGGATGCTACCTGAATTTTACCAAAAACAAAATAGTTTCTATGCCTGATGATGACCGGAGAACACGTCGAAAGTACTTGCATATTTAAGGAAGACTTAATACAGTTCCTAATTTTAAAAAACAAGGATCATAACATTCATCGAGTGGTTAGTGGATTAATGCATCTTTAAACTTTAGTTAGCGAAGGGATTTCGCCATTTTATATCAATAACTTTACTAATATACTTTTGTATGAATGATTCATTGTTTTATATATATATATATATATATATATATATATATATATATATATATATATATATATATATATATATGTGTGGTCAGAACCTTCTATTTCTGACGATGAAACCAGGGTCGTGAGTTAAATTGGGTCACTGGAACTTTTCAGAATACGAACATGTCTGAACACAATCTTCAGGCCTGACGATTGCGTTCAAGCATGAAACATGGTCTCCTCTAGTAATTGACTTCTTTGTCCACTTTTATATTTACTTTTGCACTTTCCCTGATATTGGTCACTTTTACCCATAAATATATCATAAATAAAAACAATATTTTATCATATGGTCGACTACTCCCTTCTTCCTATCACACCCGACTGCTAAAAAGGCTAGATAATCTTTATTGCAGACTTCTCCATATGTACAA